AACTAGCTGTGCAAATGGTAACATTAAAACTGGAACACTGTAACTTTGTGAAAATAATCCATAACCTTCTGAGATATTTACAAAGTATTGTCACTACAAAATGTCAAATTACAGATTACTAGATACACAAATTATGTATAACATAGGAAGAAAAAGCAAAACAATATCAGTGAACTACACTTTATGCCCCATTACTATCTAAAATTAATTTTTTCTTGACTGTAAGCTAGACTGATGTAAGCTTAAAATAAGAGAGACATACAGTTTACATACACCATTCTACATTCATTTAAAACTACCTACTGATACCTAAATACCAGAATATGAATTCTGCTCCCTCCTCCAAAGTTCTCAAAATCAAATGTGATGCCACTGCATTAGTGAGAGCTGCTCCAGAACCTGGGCAAGGGACAGACAGGGTGTCAGCACAGCATGGTGCAGCTCCCAGTGCCACTGCTGTTCAGTCTCACCTTGCACACTGATATGCATCGCTCTTGCCAAATTATTGCTTTCTGAGGAGGGAGCACATGGGGCAGCAGCAAACAGGATCTAAGAGGTGCAAAAGCTCCGCTGAGCCCCAAATCAGAGCCAGTGAGCCTTAAAGGGCACTTAGTTCTCCCCGGGGCTGACAGCAGGGCACACAATGGCAAGGGGGGGACTCCATTGTCCCCCACCCCAGGGGTGAGCCAGACAAGATGGCAGGCGAGCCAGGACAGATGCATGCCTTCAGGATTCACAGACACGGCCTCACACAGAAAGCAGCACAATACTCCTTGGACCAGAATGGATCTAGGGGTTCCAGGGTGGGGGCAAACACATGCAACAAAAAAGGACTTCAAAGCCTTCACCTAAAGGTGACCAATCTCCCCTCCAGTGGGCACAGGGCTCAGTGCAAAGCCCTTCAAAGCCTCAGAATAATCACATACTTCCTCAGGTCCTGCCACATTCAGCCCTGGAACCCAGCTTTGCCTCAGTGTCCCAGCAAGATAGCCCCAAACCACCTCAAGAGTGGGGACGGAGAGAGTTAAGGCCAGGCAGGGACCCTCCTGTCCTGACCTGGCTGCAATTTGGTCAACCACAAGATCAGGAAGGCAGTAAAAATCATAAGAAACCACACTATCCAGAAAGTGCCTGTAAACTTTCTCTCTATCGTCCACTTCCCATCCCTCCCGAAAAAGGACCAACAAAGTCAAGTGTTTTGTAGCACTTTCCAATATTTCTAAGGGATGCATACTTATTTTCTACAATTATCCAGCATAAGCTTGATACCTCAAGATTTTCACTGGGTCTTTAAAAAAGGAAAACAATATCAGGTGATAGAAGTTATTCATTCAGGTTTTGGACTGCAGATTCCTGGATTTACAACAGTGGTGCAGAAATACTTATCCATAAATGCAAATTATTTAAGTATTACTGACTTCTGATAAAACAGTAAGTACTTGGGATAGATGGTCTATTTTTTTATATATATGGTTGTCAGTAGGTTAACTTACTCAATTCTTATTTGGCACTGAAGGAGGAGAAGGCCAAAAGTGGAGGATTAGCCTCCTCTTCTCCCTATGCTGTACTTACCTCCTCATAAACAGAAGCAGCTTCACCCAYAGTGGTCTGTAATTGCTTCATACAATATGCCACTACATGAACTGTGCCAACCAGCTAGTTCTTCTGTCAAATTAATTGCATCAACTCCTCCAAGGTAACTGAATACCTTCTCTGAACCACCWTTGAAATAGCTGCTTTTGTAAGAAAGCCCGCAGTATGCACTCTAATACCGAAGACCTCTTCTCAGTTGTGGCTATGCAAAACATCATGGAATACATGCTTTTCCAGAGGGTGACAGTTCATGAAGCACAATATGTAAATAGCATAATCATATTAAAGATTATTAAAATCCTGTGTTGAGAGGCTGAAGAGCTGAAGATCTTTAGGCTGGAGAATAGGCAGTTCAGGGAAGACTTTATCACTCTCTACAACTGCCTGGAGAGACAATGTAGCCAGGTGAGGGTTGTTCTCTCCTCCCAAGCAATTAACAGGACAAGAGGACATAGTCTTCAGTTGCCCCAGGGGAGGTTTAGGCTGGACATTAGGAAGAATTTCTTCACAGGAGGGGTGATTGGGCCCATTAGAATGGGCTGTCCAGGGAGGTGGTGAAGTCACTGTCACTGAAGGCATTTAAAGAAATTCTGGTTGTGGTACTTGATGTCAGTGCCACCAAGTTAACAGGGTGCTGCTCTGTCGTAGGTTGGACTTGATGACCTCAAAGGTCTTTTTCAACCTACCTGATTCTGTGATTCTGTGATCAGAATCTTATAAGCCCAGTGTCTTATAAGATTCTGTCATAAAGTTTGTCCAAACTCATGCTTTGAAATTTATGAAAAAAATCCAGACAATAAGATTGATTCTGGATCAAGACAAAAATTTACAACCTTCTGATAAAGTTAAATATGTTAGATTCATAAATATGTTTCCTCTGGGGCCTTCTGGAACAGGGCAATTTAAATTTCTTTTAAAATTTAGTTCAAAGAAAAATGCTCTGCTGACTGAGCTGTTAATTAAAAGAGCTTTTAATTGAAGATCTCGAGATTTTAATACAAATTTAAAACAACAGCAAAATGTATTAAAATATCCTACAGTATCTTGAAAATCATTCAACATAGCAGTTTGTATTACCCAAAATCAGCAAAGCTGTTACAATTAAATATTCATTTCAACGCGTTCCAATCTATTGTGTCTTTGTAGTAAATCTTGCAATTAAGAATTGCAAACCTTTTCATTACTAAAATAGCTCTTTTCTGCCTCTAGAATTTTGACTAAAAGCTCAAATCACCATTTAGGTGATTTATATTACAGATATATATACAGATTTATATTACAGATAATGTCCACAGAAATTTCATCCTCTTCTCCTTTAACTTCCCTTCTATTTAGCTGTTGTCATATACATCTCATCCTCTCTGGGGCCAAAGCCTGCCTTCTCAAATTTCAAATATAGTGATATTCTACTCACTTCCGTCTCATAAAACTGCATTATCAACCCAAAGTTTCAAGACATGATCAGCAAAACCTCCACTCAAATAGATAATCAGTTATAGGGTATTTAAATATGAAATGTGGCACAGAAAACAAAAAGTAATGTAGAAACAGTAAAAAGCCAGAAAAACACTACAGTGTTGGCTGTGGTGTCTAGCTCAGTGAGAAAGATGAAACAGAACACTGTCACAGGGTGAACAAAATTTACTCCCTAGCAGCGCCGGCATTTACTCGCAGATAGTTTTATCATAACCTTCTCTCACTCTTCAAAACAAGAGCTGCATTGCAATTCCAATTAAAAAAAAAAGAAGGGTAGGGATGGCAGAATAAACCTTTTGTCAAAAAAGAAGACCAGAAAAAAAGTACCAAGTGTTGATTAATAACTGCAGCTGATAAAGACTGAAATCGATGCAATAGAGAATTCAAGTACACACAAAGAAGCAAATCTCCTAAGAAGGGTTTTTATATTCCTCCTATCTGCTGACGTTTTTCCCTAGAGCTTAAAGTATGACTCTTTGCATCACTGTTTCACAAATCAATGCCTCTGAACTTGCTCAGAAAGGAAGTCTGTGACTCACCCCAGTGACAAACCATATCCAATAGACTTTTCAGAAGTCTTAAGCCCTGCAGAGAGCTGCCGACTGCAGGGAGTGAAGATACACAGTACACTCTTAACAACTTCCACCTGGAAAACCTGCTCTCCCGGCTGTCACGTTGTCACACGTTTTTATCCAAGTTCACAAACAGAAGATTATAGATTAACACTCTACACCTACATTTGCTYCTACAGCTTTGAAATTTTGTACAAAACATCTTAAAATAATATCAGAAAACAGTTACAAGCAAATTAGGTGTCTATAAAATCATATATAGATGTGATTTATGTCTAGTCTTTCTGGTGTAATAACCTCCTATGGTAGAAACATATTTGTTTGCAAACATTAAATATTTTTTCATTTCCTGTAGCACACAGATACATTTTAATGTCTTGGTGAAATCTAATGTAAAGTGAAGTAAATCTAAAGTATAGTAACAAACTGGATCTTATTGAATGTACATATATATATGAATTATTAGATATTTAATAATTGTGTTAAATAAGGTTTCATGCATCATGGTTCAATACTACTGCTCCATTTTCCAAGAGTTTCTTGGTGTGGTATCTTAGTGTATTTTCATTTTATTATTTTTACATGTTCATTCACTTCAAAGTCTTTATCAATTCCAATGTGCCTTTGGCAGGATTTAGTAATTTTAAAAGCATAATTTTAATCCAATGTTCATCAATGATGATCCAATGATGAAGAAAATTATTTTTTCCATTAGAAGAACTGTTGGTATTAATACTTTTTCTAAAATACATTTTCAGTAATGTTCCTAGATAAAAATGGCAGCTTGGTCAAAAAAATTACACCCAGACAAATAATTGTAGTCTTATGGAAATACTTAAGAAATAAGACACAAAATTATTGTTCATACAAACGGTCAGCCGTACTGGCCATACATTTGCCAAGTCAGAGTTTTTAATATGGTGGAGACSACACATGTGAGAAGAGTGTGACACTTTTATGACAGGCTACAAAATTCAATTTTCAGGTTTCCTACTTCTGCAATGTGAAATACTTATGCAGGGAAAAAGAAATGCTTGTCTTAATTAATATCTATGTATTCCAACATCTTAAATAAGACATCAAAATTTTCTATAGAAATCAGTTTTAAATTTTTCAAAACGATTAGCTTTGAAGTTACATACACTAACTCAAAAACAAGCAAAAACAAATTTCAAGTAAGAAAGTGGAAACCCTCAATTTTTACAATCATCTTCCTTACAATCTTACAGATTGCTTTCTACAATTGCTCAAATTGTCTTTCTCTTGTTAGCTGATTAGAAAGCCACTCCCTTGTGGCTGAACAGAAGCAAGCATCTGTTAGACAAACTTTAAATTTTTATTTTACATATTATAACTCACCTGCTTGGGAAGGCGGAAAAGAGAATTTTTGTAAAATATATCTTTAGCCTGACTCCATGTTCCATCGATGATGATCATAACAGATGGGCTAGAAGGCATCACTGCAACTTCTTCCAAATTGGTTGCTTCAGCTCCAGGATACAAAATTAGAGTATTGGGATTTCTGCACACAGTTGCTAATTCAGGATACCTTCAATGCACAGAAACACAAAATTAAAATGATTATTGAAAGTTTTCACAACATACTTTCAGATACTAGCTCCCACTCATCTTCGCCAAATTTTACTTAAAATGTCCCTTTCTCAGCTATCACTTTGTCCTTCTAACAACTCAGAAATTGTTGGTTCTCTCTAGCCTCTTAGTGGGGACAGTCAAAAAACACCCACAAAAGTAATCAATGAAAGCATSATAAAGCAATATATCAAATATTTTCTGATGCTTATCAGTAACATCTATTGAAACCAAAGATGTTTTGAATTGTTCACCAAAATTTTATTTATGTATTCTAGCAAAATTTGTTCCAACTCTTGGCATAAAATTACTGTAATCATCCCATTTTTAACCTTGTATTTGCAGACAACATTGCCAATGCACAGTCTGCACTTACAGGACATTTTTGAAAATGTTATTGTCTCAATAGATTTTTTTATTTTTAATTACTACTTCCACTAACTGCTACAGTTATAGTTCCCATACTTTTGCATTCTGTTCTTCCTGCTGGCTTCTACCTTTGGCAATGACACCACAGGAATAAATACTGCCTATTAAATGTACATGCAGTTAGTGTATATGGAAACTCCTGAAGTTTTTGCAGGACACTACGGTATGTTAATCTATAAAAATCTGTGAAAGAGATTTAAATAATAAGTAATTTAAGTAATACTCCAAGTGTCAAAAAAACCAAGCTCAAACCAGTCCGGCACTGAGCACTCCAGGAACGAGGCAGCCACAGCTTCTGTAGGCAACCTGTTTCATTGCCTAACCCCCATCAAGGTAAAGAGGCAAGTCCCTCTCCAGCTTTCCTGAAACAACCTTCAGGTACTGAAAGGCTTCCAAATGGTCTTCCTTGGAGCCTTCTCCAAGCTGAACAATTCCTGCTCTCTCAGCCTTTCCCATAAGAGATATGCTCTAGTCCTCTGATCATCATGGCCTTCCTCTGGACTCATTCCAACAGGTTCAAAATCCATGTCTTTTCTGTGCTAAGGGCTCCAGAGCTGAACGCGGTACTCCAGGTGGGATCTCACCAGAGTGGAGCAGTCAAGTAGACTGGCAGGGGAGAACCCAAGAAAAGGCTAGCCTTGTACCTAAGACTGTGTAACTTGTCTGGAACTCGTTTCAGTATTATCATCACATGGTCTTCGGAATCGCCTCAATCAGAAAACATGAAGAGTTATAAAGCAAGGGTTGACTGAAGCATGTGAAATAGAATAAGAAATTAATTCTAGATAGTACCTCAGAGGTTATAAGGAGTAACTGATTTGGTAGGACGAGAAGAGCAATATGCAATTGAAACATCATGTGAAGTAGAAAGAGAAGCCAGTATATCTTGCATGTATCAGAATGGGATTAACAACAGCTAGCACAAAGTGGACTCTTCATGCTACCCATCAAGATCCACTAGTACAAAATCATGAACATAGACACAGGCACACTGTAAATATTCAAGTTCATGCTGAGGAATTCCTATTGTCACTGTCACCTGGAGCTTTAGAGTTCCAGTGATGCCTGATGATTTTTGCTTTTCCTTTCTACACTTTCTGTACCCTCTATGCATCTGCCTGTGCCCCTTAGCCCACATGCTTGTAATTCCTGGAGCTGATATTGCAGCTTAGTTTAGGCGTTCTGCTGGGCAGAGAGACCAAACATCCTGAGGAAGGAGTCAGCRTGCCCTGTGCTATCTTAAACCCGAGGCTCCAGCCTTCGGTGAAGCCTTCTGTCCAGAACATCTTGTGTAAACTGGGCTCTTGCCTCATCTGGTGGGGGATTCATTAGAATAGGGGGAATTACTGCATTTGTTAAGTTTCTTATTGGGGAATCCTAGATAGATATGCTAATTCCTGAAACCTATAAAACTTGTATCCGTGCTGTACACGGGTGTGCATTCTGCCATCAAGTTGTGCACCTGGGACCCCAAATACCGAGGTAAAACCCTTTTTATCCCCTTAACCATGTCTGTGTCATTATTAAAAACTGGTCGTTCAAGGCAACACCAGGAATTGGGAACCTGCACCACTTCTCCAAAAATCAAGCAAGAATGTGTATTTGTAGGAGGAAGCAGTGGCAGTGGTGGGGAGGGCTAGGGAAGAAAAAATGGTTCATAATGGATTTTTGAGTTCATATATAAAAGATGTACTTAAACCAGCACTCCATTATCACTTTCTGAGGAAATATGTAAAAACACAATTTCAAGAATGCTAAATTCAGGCAGGATTGCAGTGCCAAAGACATTGAGATCCTGAGATGAAGACTCATATGGGACCACATAGAATGAATGTGAAATTAAAGTGGAATGGAATTCAGTGTACCAATAAACCCGGTAATAATATTCCGCCATCTGATCACCCTCACTGCCAGCCCACTCCCTCCAGGAAACAGTCCAGACTGATTCAACACTACGATTTTCATTGCTGTCAATATCACTTACTACAAAAAACAAACACAAACAAACAAGCAAAACCAAAACACCAACGCATAATGATATGCTTTTCCAAAATGAACAAGAAAATAATTATAAATGGAAACAGGAAATCTGTAAGATAAGCCTGTGGGAAATGGAACTACATGRAAACTTCTCCATCCACTATTTTTTTAAACCATACTTACACTATAGTAATTTGCTATCACTTTAGTTTGACCAAGAATCTTGCTACACAAACTCAAAAGAAAGGGGCCATATCATTACAGGTTATCTAGTTTCTAGCTTAAATCTAGAAAACTGGTCATTATTTTCACATGTTTGCCTTGAGAACCCAAATCTTCAAAGARCAGTACTATCCTAATGTGGGGATAGAAGAGATTTTAAATCATTAACACTCTTAGAGGATTAAAAAAAAACAAACCATGAATTCTTAAAGTTAAACCTAACCAATACCGATTATGAAGCACTTAAGGCTCATGTTATGAACATCACAACTGACATTTTAGTCTTCAAAACACAATTCAGATGCAAACAATGGTTTTCAATGCATACTCATCCAAGGATCATAGAATCATCGCAGAATCACAGAATGGCTTGGTTTGAAAAGGACCTTAAGCATCCTATCTTTCCAATCTACCTGCCATGAGCAGTGACACCTCCACTAGGCCAGGCTGCTCAGAGCCCCATCCAACCTGGCCTTGAACATCTCCAGAGACAGGGCATCCACAGCTTCTCTGGGCAATCTGTTCCCAAGACCCATCACTCTCATAGTAAATTTCTTCCTAGTATCTAGTCTAAACCTACTCTCTTTCAATTTGAATCCACTCCCCCATGTCTTGTCCACTACATGCCCTTTTGGTAAGTAGTCTCCCTCCATCTTTCTTGTAGGCTCCCATTATGTACTGGAAGGTTTCAATTAGGTCATCTCAAAGCCTTCTCTTTTCCATGAACAATCTCAACTCTCCTAGTCTTTCCTCTTCCATCCTTTTAATTCCCASCAAGTGTTACTTCCAAACCAGACACTTCAGATTTGGCTGAACAGAGTTAGCCATCTTGTCTAGACTGTGTTTTTGCCAAGAAAGTTTGGACCAGATGATTCTTGAGGTCCCCATCCATTCTGGTATTCTAGAATTCTATAGATAGGTAGTATTCATATGTAATGAATGTCAACAGCCAATGATGGTATTTAGCTGCTCTTATTCTTAAAATAGAATGATTTCAAGTAATTGAAAGAATATCTTCTGCACAGACTATGCTGAAAGAAAAATCCTTTATACAGACATCATGATGTTTCCAGTACTTTCATTAGCAATTTGCAGACTTTACAAAAAGCTGGAATTCCCAAGAGAAATCAATTTTTATTACTTACAATTGTAGTAATCCACCTCAATACAGGTAAGATTTTACTATAATAATGAAAAATAAGATCAGTCTGAAGATATTCAGTTTTTCTTTCTATAAATACATCAATACAAAATTTCTTATCTGCTAGACATGGCCAGCAGYTCTTGAACTCTCTAAGAGAAATACTTGCAATACCTGCTTTTTCTACAAATCACTGCTCAGCTTTAGTTTTGGTATGCAGCAGGCATTACAGGCCTTTATAATCCATTTAGTATGACAACAATTCTGCTAAGCAGAACTGTTCAGATGTTTCATTCATGCCTGAATATCCAACCACTTTGTCACAGATTTATATATTCTCATGATCATACTTGATACAAGCAGCATTTCAATTATTTCTGGGATGCATGCTCTTGAGATGTGTAATTTAAACATAATCCCATTTTTATACCATAAACATTTTCATTACACATCTATACTCAGTTGTTCTCAAACTCTCCAAGTGGTTTAAATTCAACAGGGATCTATTAAACTTTGCCAGTGTGAATGGCAAGCACTCAAATTGCAAAAACACAACAGTACAATTTAGTAACAATATTAATAATAAAGAGCAGATGCTAACTTATTATCTGTAGAAAACCATCAGGTTAAGAGGAACTTCTCAGAGTTTTTCTCATTATTGTTACTACTTCACCTTAGTTATAAGGAGATGCCTTTGCCTGTCTCAGTACTCCCGTACTTGGAAGACTATTGACTGCCATAACTCCCATAATATAATAATCCCCATCAGATAATAAAAGGAATAACAAATAAAGGCAACACTATGTCATTTCCACATTCAGAAAGAGGCCCTTAGGATCAGGACTGAAGCATAAGAGATACTCAGCAAGAGTACCTCTGGTTCATCTACTCTTTTATCATTTATCTACTTTTGATATGTGAAGTGTAACCTTTAAGAACAGAAACATTAGCAGAAGGTTCATCATAGAATTGGAAAGGACCTCAAAGACAACCAAGCCCCACTGGACACTTTATACTGTCAAGTCCACCACTAAACCATATGCCCAGGCTCCCTATCTATCCCTATCTACAGGTCTTTTAATCACCTCTGCAGATGGTGACTCAAATACTTCCCTGGGCAGTCTGTTCCAGTGCCTGACAGTCCTTTTGGTGAAGAAATTTTCTAAATAAACAATCTAAACCTCTCATWGAAGCACATCTTGAAGCCAGCTCCTCTTGTCCTGTCTATTGCCAACATCCCCTCACCATAACCTCTTTTCGGACAGTTATAGAGAGTGAGAAGGTTGTCCCCACAGGTGACATACAACATGTTGGGCTCCTGTCAAGGTTGTGGTAGAGAATAAGCTGCTGCTACATGTTCCCTGTGAGTATGCCAGAAGCGAGCTCCAGCCTGTGGAGAACACACACACTGAGGCAGAGGCAAAGAGGAGAGGAGGAAGGAGTGGCAGAAAGAAATTGCTATTGATTGACTGCAAGGCTGAAAGCTATAGTATTCAAAGAAAAAACAGCCAGCAAGAACATTAACCAAATTACATAGAGAAATGTGAATTTTGATATAGTAAAATATGGTTTCAGATGCAAATTAGCACACATTCAGTTGGCCTGCATTAATTACTTTTATACACAGAATGAACAAAAGCTGTGACTGATGATCTCTGCCTCCATCTAGTCATTCTTGGTTGAAACAAGGAGCAAAAATGTGTGAATCTAGTTTGATAATGAAACGAAAGCACACAAAAAAACCTCACAAGAAAGTTACTTGAATAAACAGCCATAACTTGGAAACAGTTTTACATGATTTGGTAAGTGGATTCAATTAGTTGATACTTGACATAGTAGAATTTTTGTGAACAAGCACTATAAAGTGCAAAACCTACTGTATATAATTACCTTAAACAGCTTTATAAAGTCAAACAGAAATAAGTTGCATTTTATTACTTCAAAAGTGAAGCTACAAATTTTCCCAAGTGTCCATTTAATTTCTTCTTAACTACTCAACTGTAGCAGGGCTGGCAACTATTCTGAAATTTCATAGAATAATAGAAACATGGAATTGTAAAATATGCTGAGTTGCAGGGGACCAGTAAGAACCATTGAAGTCCAACTCCAGGCCCAGCTCAAGACACCCCAAGAGTCACACTACATGGCTGAGACCATTGTCTAAATGCTTATTGAAATCAAGACAGGCTTGGTGTTGTGACCACTTCACTGGGGAACCTGTTCCAGTGCCCAAACATACTTTGAGTGAAGATCTTTCTCCTGATATCCAACCCAAACCTCGCTTTACACAACTTCAGGCCATTCCCTTGGGTCCTGTCCCTGCTCACCAGACAGCAGAGATCAGTGCCTGCCCCTCCTCTTCCCCTCACAAGAAGTTGTAACTGCACTGAGGTCTCTCCTCATTCTCTTCTCCTCCAGGCTGAACAGAACAAGTTCAGCCACTCAGCCACTACTCACGGTTTCCCCTCCAGACTCTTCACCATCCTTGTGGCCTTGCTTTGGACACTTTCCAACAGCTCAATGTCTGTTCTGTGTTGTGGCACCCAAAACTGTCCCCAGCACTGGAACTGAGGCCGCCCCAGGTCAGAGCAGAGCGGGACAATCCCCTCCCTTGCCCGGCTGGCGATGCTGAGCCTGATGTCCTTCAGGACACGGGTGGCCCTCCTGGCTGCCAGGGCACTGCTGGCTCATGGTCAACTCACCACTGACCAGGACACCCAGCTCCCTTTCTGTGGCGCTGCTCTCCAGCACCTCATTCCCCATTTTATACAGACAACCAGGGCTGCCCCATCCCAGGTGCAGAATCCAGCACTTTGCACAGTTTGATTTCAGAGAGCAATGAAAAAYAGATTTATAAATGTCTCCACCCTAAGTAACAGGGTGGCAGATGCAGAAATATTTGCATCTGTTTTCTTTTAATTGATCATTCATTAGAATCTATAATTTTACCATAGCATCCAGAATCACCAAAACATAAATATTTGCATAGAGGGAAGGCTTGAGAATAAGATTACCCTTTCAGGAAAGTTAAATAAAATAAAGGCAAAACCACCCTATCCAAAATGTCACAAATTATAAAATTAAGCTTAAAAGCAGTAGTGACAAGATTGTTTATAAAACTATAGCATCAAATTAAAATAATTATTCTTTTTTTACATATTAGACTTTAGATACAGTTATCTCTGTTCAATATATGCCCAAAATGGAAGCAATTTTAATACTGTAATCATCAATTCTGAAAGAATTTGAAGAAAATTTACTAGGCCCAGACTGTAYTGACAGTGTTCTACCGGATGTGTATCAGTTTGAAAAGTTGCTTCATTTTCGAGTTTAATCGGAAGAGAGCAAAACTTCCCTGTAGCCTCAATGAAGCCTAAATCTTTCTGGATTATTGTTAGCATTATTATCATAGAAGGCTAAAAGAAAAGCAATGTATTTTTAATGTTTTTTAGTAAATATACAGGCAGCACAAAAATGTGGAAGCCTCATTTTGTATTACCTTCCAACATTTTTGTACACTGAACTCTACAGAAAGCTTTCTCTAAGGATTCAACTCAATTAGAGAATTAATTTCCTTCATAACTATTCATGATTTCTATTTGCTTTACTGAAAATGTATGTAGTAAAGCTTTACTGACATTTGGTGCTGGTTTCTAAGATTTTGCTTCACCTAATGAAGATTAAAGATGCTATATGGAAAACCAGTATTTCCCATGGTCTCAGAATATTAGGAAAAAAATTAAAAAATTCTGAGAGCTATTTTCTTATGATTAATGTTAATAGGAAGAAGAAAGTGAATTTTTTTTTTTTTTTAAGATTTTAAGAGTTTCTCACCATGGGGCTGCTTTCTCAATTTTCCACACTTGAGTAAAAACTATTAGYTTTATTTCAGGGACACCAAATGGTTAGTCAGACAAAGAAAACTTTAAAAGGAACAAAAATGTATAGCAAGACAGACCTAGTACTACAAAAGAACAGAACTGGAAACAGCTAAGAGTTTGAAAGTAACCATCTGAACATTCTAAGAGGTCAAAACTGAGACTACAACTCAGAGGAAGAATATCAAGTCATTCTGACTATCTTTGGAAATCAGAAGCTTAAATCAAAAGTGAATGTGCATACCTGAAATAAAACTTAAGAGCAGTGTTGGCTATAAATAAAGACACTGAAAGATATATTCCTATAATTTACAAAGAACCAGAAAATGCATAGGCAATTCTGCTCACCTGTCTTCACTAAAACGTCGACCAACCAAAATTTTACATTTGTCTGGAGGGAGACAAGCTGCTAGCAAAGGTACTGTTCTTAACACTCGACTCTCCTGTAAAAAAAACAAAGGTTAATTTTGAATAAAATAAAAAAAAGGCTTCTACAAATTGCTAATGTTATCATTCTCTATCAAATTCTGTTGACTACAGAGAAAAAAATTTACTAGATAATAGGACAAAAAATCTTCAAGAAAAAATACCCAACCTTGATGCTTCAAATTGTATTATTTTGCCTGACAATATTGAACTTAGTCTCAACTAATCTCTGATCAYCAGCATAGATTTGAATTAGGCTATCAGTATCAAAAACAGTAACAAAAGTTCACAGAGAATCATAAGATAAGAAATAGCAGGCAAAAACGGCATTAGCATTAATGTAATAGTATCAGTAGAAAACTAGGGCAAGGCTCAATTTCCACAAACAGATGCTAAAAATAAAAGCACAGGTTGTGTGAGAACAGACCATGTGAAATGCAAACATCTCCACTCTGCTGTCACTTCATTTCAGACTAACCCGGACAATGACACCTACACTGCCACAAAGATTCTGTCTCATGCCATTCAGGGTTTGGGAACAGGCACCTCTCTACATTTTTATGCCACAGATGAGGAAGGTGACCACCATRACTGGGTGGGGAGCAGGGGGTCTTCATTTCTCAAAGAGCATTAAAAAAAAGCTGTGTTGAAGAAGGGCCTCAGAAAGTAAAGGAAGGAAGTAATGGAAGCAGGAAGTTGAAGCAAACCATCTACTCCTCAAAAACAGCAAAGTACTTCTGTGCTTCATTTAACATAGCTGCCAATGAACTGTGTCCAGACAAGAATTAGTACAAATTGAGCATCAGTTTGTGGGATTTCAAGTTTTGTCTTCCTGTCAAGGAAGTGGAAGCATAGTTTGATCTCGCGCTTAGTGAAAACATCACACCAACAACCAAAAACTGAATGGTAGTTTCAGTTTCTTTATTTATCATAAGATGAACAAAGGAAGGTTATTAGCTGCATCTAGAAGGAGACAGGACACTAGATGTCAGGTAAGAATCATGAAAGCCCTAAACCCAGTAAAAGAAATGAGTTCTCACAATATTTTCAATTTGGATGCCTCATGATTCAGACAATGAACATCTAAACTTCAGTCCCTAAACCACAGACCACAGGATTGATTAATGAAACCCAGGGTGGGGGCAGGGGAGGTTTTGGTCTGCCTTTTGATTTAAGAGCCACATCTCAACATCACAGTATTTGTAAACACGTGAGGCCCTTATTGCCCTTATTAACTCATTCTGGGCAGATGTTACTTCCACAAATATCAATGCGCAGCTGCCTGCACTCTCACATTGTCTTGCCACCAAAGTGCTATCAAAATAGTTTTGTAAAGACTTGTAACTGTTGCCCAAACTTATATTAATTTTCTTTTTTCTGAACCTTATCTACTGATCCTTTATGAATAAAATATCATGGAGTTGAAGAAATAGCTGCCCTGCTACATCCACCACCATTTTTCATGGCACCAGCAGCATGATGTCTCCTAGGGACAGATGAAGATCAAAGTACCTTGGGAGTAAGGTGCCAAAAACGCGAGGGAGAAATATCCRTCAAACTGCCATCAATTTTTTCTATGTCTGCAAAGCAGAATAAGCCATCAATTGTGGTACAGTATTACTTGTCTTTATCATAATTACATAACATTCCAATTCACTAGTCAGAAGCCTCCCTTCTTCATAAGAATGTAAGAAGTGGCAATAAAGGAACTGAAGAAAATCAACTATTTGTGTCTGATGAGTAAAACCAGAGGAGCTGTCATCAGCCGGGAGAAAGTTATTCAACTGTTCCCTCCAATGTCACATCCTGACTTCACAATTGAAGACATATCAAATAAATACATTCTCTTACCAAGACAGGAAATTAAATTTTCCAAGCTAAAAACAACCAAAGACAAATAAATAGTAAGCTAAAACATAAAATCCAAAGCTGAAAGGAATTGAGAACAGAAGCTTAAGTGGAGCTAAGTCAAAATAACATTAAAAAAGGTTTCATTTGTCATTAAAAATGTATCTAGTTTATATATAACATATTTGTTATAATACCAGCAATTATCTGTTTACTTTTGTGAAAGAGAGCAGTTTCTCCAGTTTCTCTCCTTTGTTCTTCTCAGTGTTCTAAAAGTCCTTTGCAATTCTTTTTTTATTCATTATGTGACCACTGAAGTACACAGTTAGAAATAGGACTGAAGGACTTACGTGGTGGGCTGACCTTGGCTGGCCTCTAGGTGCCCACCAGCCACTCTATCACTCTCTTTTCAGCAGAATGGGGTGGGGAAATAAGATGTAAATGAACTTGTGTGCCAAAAGGCCATGGGCAGAAGCAAAAGAAAATAAAAATATTTTGTTCTCCATTTCCTATCACCAGGTAAAGTGCAGACACTTTCAGGGAAGCAGGGCCTCAGCATACAGCAGTTCCTACACAAGCCTCAAATAAGAGATGCCATTCCCCATCCACCTCCCCAGCTCTTACCGTGTTATATGGTATGGAATTCCCCCTAATCAGCCTGGTTTAGCTGTTCTGGCTATGTGCCCTCCAATCTCCCATCTGCCACCAGGCTACTGGCCTTGGAAGGCAGTTTTGGAGGGGCAACCCTGATGCTTCATGAGCGCTGCTCAGCAGTACTCCAAAAACTGTAGGCACAGCTCTCTGAGAGGTGCAGTGTGAAAAGCCAACACCATTCCTGCCAGGCTCAATGTAATTTACTTCTGCATTGTTTTTTGTTTTCTAGAAATTTGTGATAACTCTGGATACCAGAGCACTATTCATCTACAATGAAAAAACAGTTCAAACCAATAGAAATATTTATTAAAGCCAGCGGATATATATTTTCTTCACATTTGCTTATGAATTTTTAGAACTAGAAGAAAGAATTCATCCCTCACACTTATTTCTTACTGTTCAATAAGAAATACTATACAGAAAAGGTATTATAATGAGCAACTCAAACATATTTACTGGTATTAGACCAATATATGAAGCCATTAAACACACAGTCTAAATTTTCTTCTCAGATGCTTAACATGGACAATTCTCACAGTAAAAAAGGCAGGGAATGAGAACAACTTCAACAGATACTCTCTGCTATGCCTCAGGGTTCTRTTCTGAGTTATACCCATAACTCAGGTTCTGAAAAGTACAAAATTACCTACATCCCACTGGCAGTCACTTTTAGAATGATCAAAGGCAAAGGTAAGACTAAAAGGGGTTTGTACACCTTGCTGCTGTGCCGCTGGACTGTCCTATAAGAGCAGGTATGAAAGAGGAAAAATGATAAAATAATTTTATTTACTTTTATACATATATATTCATCTATATGCAAACAAGAAAAATCGACCAGACTGAGYAAATAATCCCTTCAGCTTTGTACTAGTCTTGATGCTGGGTTTCTATATATTTAGTTTTTAAATTACTCTCATGATGAACAATGGTACAATAACACTGATCTGAAAACAGGTATTTATACCTTGACATGGAATGCTGAATTCTCTTTGGATTCCCTCATAAAAATCTAAATAATTCATGTACCTATTATGCAAAATGAAAGCTTGATGGTAGAATTTTTCACCAAATACCAGATATTTGCATAGGTCTGTCTCAATACCATCATTTCATCACCATTGAAGGCTTACTCCAATGCAGTGAAGACTTACAAAGCCAATAATCATGCACACAGGGGATGACAGTCAAGACTGATGTGCAGCAAGGGAAAGATATTCACTACCTGGTATGTTTAATGGGGTATTTTTGAAAYAGACTATTAAGAGTGTATCTGTAACGCAATGGCAGACTGAATGACCTGATACAGTCCAGAAAGCTTATCTGCCTTCAAGACTGACTGTTTTGAGTACAAGCAGCTACAAGCAAAGGGAACTTACCTTTGCTCAGGTATGCCTCTGCAGCCATGGAATCAAAAGCATCATCAAAGACAAACTAAGAAAACACTTCCAAAGATGACTGTAAGATATTCCTAGTTTCCCACCATTTAACAGGACTTATCTCTGATAAGCCAAGAGCCCTCATATAGTTGGATAGTTACCATACAATAGTCTTCCAATGGCAGTTTATTGCATGAATTATCATTATGTAATACAGTCTAATGGAAAACTTGCATATCTTTGTAGCAGACAGCTTTGTAATTGCTGATTAACAAAAAAATTGTAGATAGCTTTTCAGACAGACACAGAAATAGTGTACAAAATCTAGAAAAATCTGCAAACTTTTTCTAATACCCTCCACCATGAASAGAAATTGAGCACAATTAAATTGCTGGTTCAATATCTCTGTCATATTTTTAAACTTCTTTTTTCCAACAAGTGACCTTCAGCATATATTTAGGCACTTTTGAAATAAGAAGTAACATGGAAGAGTAATCCTATTATAAGCCATCCATTAAAGATCAGTTTTTCCATTTATGGCCCAAATAGGTCATGGCTTTTGTTTTGTATCCCTGTGAGAGAAGACTTTCTTTGCATATTGRTTATGCTACTATTGATTGAGCAAACAGCTGGACCTTGAGAGTACAGTTTTCTGAATTCCACAGTCTTATTGTAGACCCACCATCTACCCAACTGTGGTAAAATTTTTAAAAGCCTTGTTATCCACTTCCATAGGGCACTGTCAACCAAAGAGAAAAACATCAACATATGGTCTCCTATTAGTAAACCAAAACATACTGTTCTGAGGCTGAACTGTAGCTTTTCATTGGTTAAATAGCTAAGGTCATTGCTAAGAGGAATTACTTAATTCCTGCTCTTAAAAGAAGACTAACATCAATAAAAGACCACTGCTATAATCAAAAGACATTTCTTCATGGATCAACTCTAAGCACCACTATGACACACTGTGCTCATAGAATCACAGAACCACAGAATCAAAGAATATGCTGAGTTGGGAGGGACCCATGAGGATCATCAAGTCCAACTCCTGGCCCCACAGACCACACCATGTGCCTTTATGTTATTTAATATTATTTAATAACATTGTTACTTTATTTTTATAGTTTGTACAAAGGCAAGTAGATTTCAATTCTAGTAGGCCTATACAGTTATGATGAGATGTTTTGCATGGAATTGCAGAAATAAGGTATTATAGCAGAAGATAACAATAGTTTGGAAGAACTCAACAAAAAATACAGCAACTCAGATGAACTGGCATTCTGTCATGAAGTTTAAAAGGAAAAATCATTATATGATTGCCCTGATATTGGCTGGGATAGAATTAATTTTTTTCCCAGTAGCTGATACAATGCTGTATTTCATATCCAGGGTGAGAATAATTTTGATAGCAACAATGAAAACACCAGCATGTTAAGTAGTGTTTACCCTAAACCAAGGATTCTTCAAGTGCCTCACATTCTGTCAATATGAGGAGCTGTACAAGAAATCTTAAGGGAGCACGTCCAGGTCAGATAACTCTAGCTGACTAAACATGGATATTTCATACCATACCCCAGTATTTAAACTGGAGATGGTCAGAGTTGCCAGTTGCTGCTCAGGGATGGGCTGGGCATCAGTCAGCATGTGGTGAGCTTTGTATTGTGCTATATCACTTGCTATTATTATTATTAGCATCATTAGTACTACTATACTTCACTTCATGCAATTAATTAAACTGTTCTTATCTCTCTCACAGAAAGTTTTACCTTTCTTCCTCCTAATTCTCACCCCTATCCCATCTGGCAGAGGGGAAAGTATTGTCATACTGCATGGTACTCAGCTGATGGCTGGGGTCAAAGCATGACAATGATGTTGACAGCACAGCTGTTTCCTCCTGTCTACCATTGGCTGCATTAGGATTCTAGCTGAAATCCCACAATTACCACAGATTACTCACCTCTGCTGGGTGCTGAATTATATACAAGCAGGTGGAGACCTTTAGCGGATGTACAGGCAAAAATGGACACAAACACACCTTCTGAGGACGGCTACATGGCAAAAGGGAGTGAGAGAACAATAAAAGCCATTAGCAGTTTGTGAAAGAGGACACAGATACATTGCACAAATACATATCACATTGCCTAAGAACTTTCCCTAACTCCATTGTATTAAACATGATGTAATTTGACATTTGAAACTCCTTTCACTTCTACAAATAATGAGGCAAAGCTTTCATTGAAACAGCATTTTGAGAACAGACCCTTGCTGTGGTTTGATTAGGGTTAAAGAATTCTAAAAATTCTTCCATCATCTTTAGGATGAGCAGCTTAATACTATCTTTATTAGACAAGTCTGTTACAGCTTTTCTAACAAGTTAGTTTCAACAATTTGATGAGATATAATGGACATACACTATTTACAATTTATGTTATATTTATAATGGATTTATTAGAATATAACATTCTACAAGTATACACACATAAAATCCCAGACATGCTGTGTTTTAATTTTTTATAATTCCATCTATGCTAAAATATGGAGCAGACATGTAGAATGAAAAATCCTTATCAGGAACTTCTAATCTAAGTCAGAAAAATAGGCAAGTTTTTTAAAATTCTTTGGTGTACTGCACGAAGCTCCTGAAATGCCTAGCTAAAGAACAGTATCTAAAGAAATTAACCTATGCTTAGGAAACTGATGTGCTGAATAATCAAGAATAAACAGAAACAAAGAACTACATTTGAAATTATTCACACAGTAATTGAAGTTGTCACTTCAGAAAAACACAYATTCACATGCACATGGTCTAGTTCCTTGTATAAATTATTCAGGTACTCAGAAAAATGAAAAATTTTCTTATCAGTGAAACTACTACTTGTATTGACCAATTAAGGTCACACCATCTCTGCAAACATCTCTCAGCTTAAAATATACAAAGTCAGTATTTTCAGTAGTGATAGGCACTTGGAGAACAATTTCACCTGCACCYTCCTTGTAACCATTTTAATTAACAGTTCATACATTAATCACAGGAAAGACAGAAAACAAGGAATCACTGCAGCAGATGTGATTCCAAGGAATAAATTCTGAAGACAGGTTCAGATTAAATTCATGATGAGCCCTACTGAGAATGAATTTGCTTACTCACAAGAGCACGTACACAGACAGGTGAGTTAAGTAATGTTACAGTCATCCAAGCCAGTACAACTGTTCTGCATTCAAACATTAGCATTTAACAGTAAATGGTAGCATTATAAAAAGGCAGTAACAACAGATAAGCTCCTCTTTATCAGCTGACAGCCTGAGATGATTTAGAAGTTGTACTTCTAGCCCTAACTATTGAGGCACAGAGGATATTCTCTTCTCCACAGAATATACAGTTAAAAGGTTACCCACCACCAGCCTGAAGTGAGGATGGAGGGAATATTGATGCAAGACAAGGAATTGACACTCACCAAAATAAGCACTGGAAAAAACATATAAATATTTAGACTAATAGGCCCACAGTCACTACATCAGCCTAATGACAAATTGTCAATTATTCTGATACAMCTCTGGTATACTGTTCTAGTAGCACGCTGTCTGGTTTTCCTTCACATTTCTAGTGCTGGCATTTTCCTGCTGCTAATGCTGCACAAATTTGGCACATTCTGTTGTATTAATGGCCAGGCTTTGGGCCTAAAATGTTCAGTTATTTGACTATTCAGTGGGCTACCCAAGGGACCTTCATCATGAATGAACTGAAACCAATGTCACTTCTGGGTCTGGTCTGTTGCTCTCCACTGCAATCCCACTGCCCTTTTCCCAAATTTTCCAACATGCAAGCAATTTAAACAGAAATCTCTGATTTAAAAAAAAAAAAAAACAAACTTTTGTTAACAATCTAGAAGTAGCAAATACTTCTAGGAGTATTTTTTCTCCACTGTTCTAGGAGTGGAGGCTGCTTGTTGCCTGTGCCCTGATGGTTAAGTCAAAGTTCCTCTTTTTGATCATCAGATTTATCAGAAACTCAGGTGTGTGTACCAGTGTGATTCCTTGGCTTCTCCCCAACAGCAGGTTCACTCCAACAGCTGGTTTTACCAACAAGATAAGCTGTTAAAGCTCTCCCCATTATGGCATTTTCTGCTGAAGGGAGACTAAAGCATGAAAATCTACTACAGCAAGCTGCTGCAAAACAGTTAGCAAGTGACTTCAATCCAATGAGCTACACTGTTCATTAGCTCATATAGTCAAACAAAAAGAGCTTCCTGTGATTTCTGACCTCAGGGTGTTTAATTACAACAAATTTCACTACATATAACTTTCTTACTGTCAAGTGTCCCTTTAGTATATGCTTTTTGTATTTTCCACACTGGTTTGCATTTTTCACAAGTAGTTTTTTAAGCTTTGTTAACCTCGCAGAAAAAAAAGAATTAAATCCAAGCAAAAAGAAGGAAATTACCTGGAAAGTAAGTATTTTCAAACAGTTGCAAAACAAACTCGACATATAATTTGATTTGTACGGAGCAGAGGGCAGACTATAACTAATATACTATTTCCAAATATAATTTAATTACTCACATATGCATATACATCACTTAACATTAAGCACCCAATTAGGTACCTAATTACGTTTAATACATACTTTTAAAAACCTGTCCTGAGGGCACAAGACTATTTTTGTAAATTTACTTGGGAACCTAACAGTTATTTGTGAGACAAAAAAACCCTAATATTCCTACATGAAACTGACATTACTAGTCAACAGCTGTGGGACAGGAAGCACTGCAGAACAAATCAAGTTCTGTTCCACCACAACAAAAGCTGTCTTTGCTCTGAGAAAGGCCACCTAGGCAGAAAAGGCATTTTGCCTTTTTTTTTGTTTAAAGATTCTGATTTTGTCTTGCCCTATATACACAGCTGATGTTATAGAAGAGAAGGAACAGCAACAGGAACTTTTACACTGAATATCAGTTTTCTCTCATTTCTGGAAATTAGAGAAGCAAACAGCTCTACGCAGAAGCAGTAGCATTTAGAATATTAAGGAAAAGATTTTCTGGATGGGGAAAAGGATTTSGAGTCAGATAATTTTTGTTGCATTATTCACCTGTATGCAATTGTACTGCTCAAAGCTACCCAGTGGATAGCTTCTTAGATGKTTTTCAATACAGTATTTCTAGTCTAAAAACTTACGGCAAAATAATCTATCACACTGACATGACTAAAAGAAAAAAATAATCATTCATCATAATATATTGGAAGAGTGTTCGATTTGAAAAAGATAGCCATGTACATGTATTGCTATTCAGAATAACATTAAGTCTATCTTCCCAGCAGAACTGAATACGGACAGTGGACTGTGGTGTCAGGTTTAGTGTGATTACTAGTTTCTAGGCAGAGATATTCTAAAAGTAAATATGCAGTAGTCTGGAAAATAGTGAGCTAATTCTGAAACTCTTTCCAAGTTTCTGTATTATTTGACTGCAAATATGTCCTCACTTGCTTAGAACTAAATTTTACGTTGCTACATGTCCAAAGGCTTCATCTGAGAACAAGCATCACTGTGAAGGCAAACAAGCACACTCTTACACCCATATTCAGGTAATTCAAGGATTTAAAACCCAAAGTAAGCAAAGACTAACAAAGATACAATTTTATGGTCAGCATTTATAGACGTGTATGGAAACATACAGAGGTTGAGTGTGCCAAACACATGTTCTAGAAACAATGCTTCCAACATTAAAATAAGGAAGAGACTGATTTTTTTAACTACTAACACTTGTAGCAACATATTCATATTCCAACACATATTGCCAAGGTCAGGCCCCAGACTGTATTTGCAAAAAAACATGCCTGCCAAAACAGAAATTGCTTCAAGTACATTAGATTTCTCTATCATTTTTGTCAAAACACCAAGGGTTTTCAAGGTCAAAACCCACCTGAGAAGTCTGAAGAAAAGCCACAAAGTTACCATATGTTTGTTTTATACTAATGCTTTAATATATGCTTTATACTGACACAAGTTCATTACATTCATGAATTAAAACAACATTCAGGAGCTTTAGAAAGCTGAGTGTRTGGGAAGTTTAAAAAGAGAAGCCCATTTATTTTTAAAAATTCAAGAACTGTTATTTTCACTACTTTTATGTTAGAGTACAAACAAAAAATAAAATTTATTGAAGATGACATTTTGCATTCTCCACCTTAACCACTACAGCTATAGAAGGAACATAAAAGAAAGAGTGGACTAAGTTAAACATAGATAAGCATAAAGTTATGCATTTATGAAGAAACAATCTTAACCCAATATTTAGAAAAAACAGTGTCTGAAGTTAATATGATATAACATTCAATGGTACTAACTTTCAATAAATAATCCTGTGGAAACAGCAGTTTAATGCCTGGCAGATCTCAAAAATACAGATCAGTGTTGTAAAGTGTAACTAAGAAAGGATTAAATAATTAAACACAAAATTTTTTTATGATACTACATAAACCTCTGGTATGCACTCTGAGTGCTGGAGAAGTCAGATCAAAATATCTGAAGTGATTTCTAATGTCATCATGTCTATGTTTCTTTCAGGTTTATTTTAGATATTCTTTACTCAAGAAAAATTTCAAGACTTAGCTTTAATGGCATTTCCTGAGAAAAATCAGGCATAGAAGATTACTTAAGACTTTATCATGTTCCAGCTCCCATTTTTTCCTCCAGTCTCTTTCAAAAGACTAAGAAACTCACTGGTCAAAAATTAAATCCTTACAAACTTCATTAGGAGTCAATTGCAACAGAAAAACACAATATCAGAAACACAGGCAGAGGGAGTATCAAGAGCAATAACAGAGCACTTCCTTTTTCACTTGGTAATCTGTATAACACCAGCTTCCTGGAAAAGAACAAAAGGAAAAAGGGAAAGTCAATGAACTTTGCAGATACTCACATATGAACCAAATCTTGCCTTCAGCTAAATTCAAAAAAAAAAAAAAAAAAAAAAAAAAAAAAAAAAAAAAAAAAAAAAAGACATATTGCTAAAGTTTTGTTTCCCACAAGAAGTTATAAATAAATAAAACA